GAGCTCCCGCTGAATCACCGGTGCCGGTTGGGGACACGTGTACCCCGGGGGTGAGGGGCTGGACCCTGCTCCTGGTACCCGCTGCTGCGGGCAAAGAGGCAGCGCTGGGGCGGTGCTGAGCTCCATCATCCCCCTGCCCGGGTCTGCTGGGTCTCACCGAGCCTGGTTGTGCCCAGCTCTGGCCTCTCCCCACGTGCTGAGCATCAAGATCCAGCTTGGTATGTGAAGAGGTGCTGGATCAGGTGCGGGTTGTGCAGGGTGAGGGGGTGTCATCAGGGCATGGAACCCTTTTTGGGGGGCTCCCCGAGGCAGACGCTGTGGGAACACCATGGACAAGTTGTGTGGCACAGGCTGCTCTCGTTCCTGCTCGTGCCCAGGGAGCTGGTACCCTTTGGCATAGGCTTGTGGCCAGAAGCAGAGGGCTCAGGCTGGCTGGGTGATGCTGCTTAAAGTCGTTGCTCCTTGCTGCCTTGGAAAAGAATTGGGGGTCCCCAGGGCCACCAAAATGTTGGGCTCCCAGCCTTTGGACATCAGGGGTCTCCTTCCCTGTAACTTCCCAGCCTGTCCTCAGGCCAGGCTGGTCTGTCCTGCCCTCCCCATGCCTCTACAGACCTGGTGAGTATCCAAAACATCCCCCTGGGCTTCAGTTGTAGGAGGGGGGGAGTTTATGGCATCCTCTAGGCAGGGCTGTCCCTGTCACCCCTCATCCTGGTGTTGGTTCCCAGAACGGGGAGCTCTGTGGGACACTGAGGGCTGCTTTGCTCTCACCCTGGTGTGCAAGGAGGCCTCTCTGTAGCCCACACCAGGCTTGGCACACAGGAGGTGGCCTTTCTGAGAAGCATTTCCCATCCAGGGATGAAACGTCCCCAGGAAACGCAGCCACAGGAGCCAGCTCTGTGGGGCAGGAGGTGGCAGGTGGATGCCTTGTCTCCAAACCCCCCCTGGGGTGTCACAGCAGGAGCTGCTGTTGGTGTCCCCAGCCAAGCAGAGCAGCTTGTTTACAGAGGCAGACACTTGACCTGGCCGGATCAGGAAGCAGAGTGTAAACATGGAGGATCTCATCTGAGTGGCTGCTCCCCTTTCAGGCCATGTCTGGAGGGCTCTGCAGGCAGAGGCACCCTGGGAGCTGGTGGCTTGTTTTAGGGACCTGGCAAGGATGGTACCATGTGCTTTACTTGTTGCCCTGGGAGGGATCGTTGCCCTGAGGGCTCCCACCTGTGTGCAAGGACGTTGCAGGGCTGGGATGGACCAGCTCAGCAGTACCTCTGCAAAACCCTGCTGCAGGGGTGCTGTGTGCTGGTACCCCTGGCTGCAGACGTGGCTAGTGACCACCCTCACCGAGCAACTAGTGCAGGGTGACAGGGCACAGGCTGTGAGACTCTTCCTCCCACATCTTGGTCCACTCCCCCCCATGCAGCCCCTGGCCTGCCTGCTGGGCATGGGGAGAGGATCCTCCCTTTGGCAGGAGAAGGGTTAACGGGTCTGCCGTGAGCAGGCTGCTGTGACAAGGACCAGAGGAAGTGCTGCAGGAACTGCTGCTCTCTGTCAGGCCTCAAGAGGAAGCTGTGCAAGAAGAGGAAACCTGGGGGTGCAAGAAGAGGAAACACGGGGCTCGGTCCTTCTGGGGCTGCTCCCTTCCCTGCAAGGAGCTCTGCTTGGAGGGCACCCACTGCTCCAGCCACCCACTGGGATGCCAGTGGCCACTGGTGGCCACACGGGCATAAGTGGCAGCTGTAAAACACCCAGCTTTGCTGGAGGGTTGGACTTGGCCCTGGGTGTGCCAGGGAGCTCCTGGTGGCCACTTGAGGCCAGGTGTCTGTCAGCAGGAGTGGGTCCAGCCCATGCAGGGTGTCCTGGTGCCCCAAGGATGCAGTGTTTGGCCGTGGAGGAAGAGTGGGAAACACTGCAAAGTGGGGGTTTGGTTTTGGTGTCATAATGAAGTTCCTTGTCCACAAGGGAAGCACTGCCAGAGGCATTTATCTGCCTTGGTCAGCCACGGCCTGATCTCGTGATGCTTCACAGCCCAAGAGCCTTTGTCCCATCCCAGATCCCCTGATACCAGTTTATGACTAAGTCCTCTGGGCTTTCCCCACCATGGGAGAGCCCAGGACTGGGACAGTTTTGGGAAGGGACAGTGCTGGGAGCTGGGATGCTCCAGCCTCCTGTTCCTGGCAAAGCTGGTGCCAGAGCCCCCAGGGCTGCACTGTTCTGTGGGAACCATGAGCAGCCACGTGTCCCTGGCCCTCCCAGAGGACAGGACCCTATAAAATGTCTCCAGCATGATCCCACTGGCAGCCTCCAGGTAGTGCCAGGCCCATTGCTATGGGAGCTCTGTTGGGGCTGAGGGTCTCCTGTGATGCTGTGCTGATGCTCTGTGTGCCCCTCTGCTGTGCTCTGGCCCCCGTGTTGGGCTCCTCCGAAACAGAGACATCTCTTGACATGGGTTTTCTCTCTCTCCCTCCCAGGCCTGGATTGGGGGTATCCGGGCTGGCTCTGTCACATCCTGTGGGAACCAGGTGCAGGCCAGTTGCCACTGGATCGCCTTCAGTGCCGAGGCAGTGGGTGAGGCACGAGGGAAGGGGTGCTGAGCGTGGCTGGAGGTGGGACGGATTGGTCCTCGGGGGGCTTGTTGCTGGGTCAGTCCCACAGACCCCAGGAGGGGGGAAGGTTTTCCCTGAGTTCCCCCAAGAGCACTGACAGACCTGCACCTTGTGGCTTGCATTGCGAAGCTGAGTGGGACCCCCATGTCCCAGGCTGGGGGGATTCCTGGGAATACCATGTGGGCCTTGGGCAGGCTGGTGACCTGGTCCTGTGTCCTCTTCTGCAGGTGTGCTGGGCATCGTGCCGCTGGAGGGCGAGGATGGAGGCAAGAGGACCGTGTCTCAGCTCTGCTGCCACTCAGGTGAGCTGGGTCTGTGCCAGCCCCAGTCTGTCTTGTTTTCTGTCTCCACCATGCTCTGCACTGGAGCACCAAGGAGTTGGGTACCACCTCCCACCTCCACAGGAGGAGGCTGGCCCAGCATGGGCTGAGTGAAGGGGCTCCAGTGCTGAATCCCAGCCTGGGATGCTATGTCAGGCTGTGTGTTTCCCAGCTGGGGGAGCTGCTGGAGTCCCCAGGGACCATCAGCCATGGGCAGGGAGACCCTGACACGTCTCACTTGTGTGTGAGACACAAGCTGAGTGCATCCACGTGGGGCTCTGCCAGGCTGGGCTCTTGCTGAAGACTCAGATTGATCCACATCCCTTCATCTCCAGAGCCGCAGCAAGGTCTGGACACGGAGCTCTTGCCCACGCTCTTGCTCTAGCACACCCTGTCCCTGTTAGTCACTGCACTCCCAGTACACCCAGTGGCAGGCTGGCAGAGGAGCCGGGACAGCATGGCCATGGGTGTTCCCAGAGATGGGAGGAACAGGCCAGACTGGTGGCTGCTCTGCTGCGGGCACAGCGAGTGCTGGCAGCGCTGCTGCGGGCACAGGAGGGTGGGGGACCTGCCTCCTGCCTGGCCAGGGAGCCCAGGGTACCCTCCTGGTGTCAGAGGAGCAATGCCAGCCTGTGGGGCACCAACCATCCCTTTCCCAAAGAAGCTGCACCAGAGCAGCAAGGCGGGAGCTATTCCCAGCGCCGCCTTCCCACGTGCGGTGCCCTGGCACAGCGGGTACCGGGTACCGGGCTGAGCCAGCGGGCACTGCTGCTCCTGGGGAGGGCAGGAGGGGCTGCCCGGGGAGCCAGCCCAACACAAACAGCTCCTTAACGCGATTTAGCACCAGCCCTTGTCAGATCAACGCCTCCGAAGCGGAGAAGAGGCTTTTTTTCCTCTCCTGCCAAGGCAGCCGTGGCCGGGTGAGCTGCTCGGTTTTCATGCCTCCTGGGCCTGTTTCTCCGCAGCCGCCTGGAAGCGGAAAAGTACACGCTGACCTACTTTCCCGAGCGTGCCAAATGCACCCGGGGGGCTGCTGCCGCCCGTGCCAGCCTTCCTCTCCCACCAGGCCCTGCCTGGGGAGCAGCCCTGCCGTGGGGAGCAGCCGAGCCGGGCGTTACAAAGGGGGCCTTGTTACCAGCACGGCCCCAGCTGCCCACGCCAGCGCTCGGGGCCAGCACACACACCCTTCTGCTTCTCCCCGTGCTTCCTGGCGATGTCTGTCCTGAGCTGGGTGGTGGGGAGTTAGATGGGGAGATGTGATTGTCCCCCTGCTTCCCTTTGGGGCCGCAGTCCCCAGCTTTGGGGGGTGAGACCCCGACGGACGGCGTGGAGGGGCTCAGGTTCTCGCAGCAAAGCTGAGCTGCTCCAAAATGCCTCCGTGGGGCTGGTCCCCCTGTCTGCACCTGCCTGCGCGTGGGTGCGTGTGAAAGGAGCCTGAGGCCAGGGAAGAGCCCAGGTGGGAAGAGCCCAGGAGGGCAGCGAAGGTGAAGGACAACCCTCTGCCCTTCTTCTTCCAGATGTGGTGACGGATTTCGACTTCTCACCCTTCGATCAGCTCCTGCTGGCTACAGGCTCTGCTGATGAGACGGTGAGTGCCCGGTGCTGAGGGTCCCACGGGGGCACCCACTGTCTCTGGGATTCGCTGTAGGGCCTGGGGGAGATGAACAGGAATAAGAGGAGCCTGGGGAGGAGGGTGCCAGCCTTGGGGAGCGGTGCGGGATGTCCCCCAGGTTATCGGGGAGAGGGGTCAGCCCTCTCCCACCCAGGATGCCCACAGCTCTGATCCCACCGAAGCTGCCGTGAGGGGTCACCTGGTGTCCTCGGGGCCCAGAGCCTGGAGAAGCAGCAGGAGGACTGACCCAGCTCTCCCCCGGGGCTGCAGGTGAAGCTGTGGCGCCTGCCAGGGAGCAGCCAGGACGTGCCCAGCAGCGCGGGGCTGACGCTGGGGCCCGCTGAGGGGCCCGTGGACGTGCTCAAGTTCCACCCCACGGCAGATGGTGTCCTGGCCAGCGGCGCCGGGAAGCAAGTCACCCTCTGGGACCTGGGACAGCAGCAGCCACTGGCAGGGAGGCATGGCCGGGTCTGCAGCTCCTGCCCGTGCTGGTGGTTGGGATCAAGTCCAGACCTCAGTGTCACTGAACGGGCAGCACAAGGGGCTTTTTGGACAGGGAACCGCAGCCCCTGGTGTGTCTGCACGGGCTGTCCTGCACTCTGATGCCACGGTGTAATGTGCTCCTGTAGTGCCCAGGGTGTCCATAGCAGCTTTGGAGGGGATCTCCTAGGGTGGCAGGTCCCTCTCCACTCGTGTCTCTGTGGGTGGGTAAATATGAGTGCTGTGGATGACCCACCTTGCCCAGACCTTGGCTAACCCCATGGGTAAAGAAGACTGGGCAACAGCACTGGGGGGAAGCTCCTGGTGGCTCTCACAGGACTCCTGCCCTGCAGATGAAGGTGCCAGCACCGTGGGGATGCTCCTGCACCAACACAGCAGCATCCCAGTGGGTCCTGGCCCCTGCCTCGACTGCCACCAGCCCTTCAGAAAGGCCAGATCGTGTCCCTTAGGAAGTGCCCCGGTGCTCGTGGGTGGGA